GCACATGTGGGAGGAGATTGGTTCTGGGAAAAGACACAGTTCCCAAATTTCATTGGAGCCCTCGACAGGAAGCATGCAAGGGTAAAAAAGTCTCCATATTCTGGCTCTCTGTATTTTAATTCTAAAAAATACTTTTCGGTTGTTCTCCTCACATTGACCATTGCAAATCTATGCTGTGTGTGTGTGGATATTGGTGCATACGGTAGCCAAGGCGATGCGTGCATCTTCAAACAATCTGCCTTTGGACATCGCCTGAATGATGGATGCCTCAACATTCCCCCAAGTAGGCCTCTACCCTGTACAACGCAGCCAAGTCTGCTATGGTCCTTGTGACGGATGAGGCGTTCGGCCTGGATGAGAATTTAAGGTGGCAATACAGTGGTTTTGGACTCACACAGAGAATATTTAATTATCATCTCAGCCGTGCCCATTGTGTTGTAAAATATGCCTTTGGCATGGTCACAGGCAATTGGAGAGACATGCTGTCATGCATACAACTGGACGTTGAGAATGCCATTAAGGTGGTACTGCCCTGCTGTGTCCCCCATAATTTTTTTGAGGCAAGCACTGGAGAACCGATGCCAGCAAATCCAAGTTAGCGTGTCCATTTCATGGACTTTACAAACGCCAAATGGGTCCATGACAATTCACAACCAATTTGCTGAATTTTTTGCATCACTTGATGTTGAATTGTCAAGGCAGGATCAGTATAGTGTTATCTATGTGGTTTGCATGTTTGCTGCAGAATTTACAGTTTACAAAAACATAAACATTTTTGTTAAATAAAAAAATTAAAATGTAGCTTTTGTCACTTTGCTCTCTGTTTTCAAATATATATATATATATATATATATATATATATATATACACACACAGTATCTCCCAGAAGTGAGTCCACCACATTTTTGTAAATATTTGATTTTTTCATGTGACAACAGTGAAGAAATGACACTTTGCTACAAGGTGACGTAGTGAGTGTACAGCTTGTATAACAGTGTAAATTTGCTGTCCCCTCAAAATAACTCACACACACCGCCATTAATGTCTAAACCGCTGGAAACAAAGTGAGTACACCCCTACGTGACAATGTCCAAATTGGGCCCAATTAGCCATTTTCCCTCCCCGATGTCATGTGACTCCTTACAAGTGTTACAAGGTCTCATACCATAGTTTGTAGATGCTAATAGACTTACTTGGATTTGTTTTACCAAAAATATGTAGCAGAATACAATTTGGCCTAAATTTATAAGAAGTTTGATTTTTAAAATGTTTCTTTTGCTTATGTTTTATAGCACAAATTAAAAAATATTGAGGCTTTTTTTCAAAATCTTCAAATCTTGGGTCTTTTTTCATTTATATAATAAAAAATGAAAAAGCCAGTGGTGATCAAATATCATGAAAATAAAGCTCTATTTGTGTGAAAAAAATTATATAAATGTCATTTGGATACAGTGTTGCATGACTTGCGCAATTATCAGTATCACAGTGCCAAATAGCAAAAAATGGCCTGGTCAGGAGGGGGTGAACTCTTCCAAAGGGCAAGAGGTTATTCTAGCCTTTAACTTTATTACTATAACAAAGGGGCTCTTATGTAATAGCACTTATGGAGTGACCAGTTCTCTTTGAGACATCAGGGTCTGTTAGACCCTCAATGTCCACTGTGCACTTCACTGCAACTAACTGATTACAAACCATGTTCAGTTATCTGCTACCCAAACCACAGCAGCCAGGGCCAGAGGCAGCAGTATGTTCCGCTGTTTGTGGAGGGAATTGGACAGCTTTGTAGTTGCCTAAACCATTTTCATCAGAAAGCCAATAGTCTGCTAGAAAATTGTGCACACACTCCTGGCTGCTGAACTAACTGGGGTGTGTGTAAATACCTCTGCTGCTGCCGACATAAGCATTGTATCAGTGGCAGTGTTACAGTGTAGCTGTTGCCAAATGCTGGCAGAGGGTCTAGCATTGCCCTATTTAAAGTGGAACTACACTGTATCCACTGTATCTGAGCATCACAAACCAAAAACACTATTTCATTTCCAATGATTTTTATTGAATTTTCCAAGAAAGTACAAAAATCATCCTATAAACATGTGGGATAGAGAAAATGCAGTTGCAACATCTGGCACATATCGGTATAAAGAACAAAGGATAACACAACAATAGTATCTCCAATTGTTATGGAAGGTCCTATATGCCAGAGTGTACCCCTGGTGTGCTTGGCTAGCCAAGCTTAGCATATGAGAAGAAAAAAAAACAGGCAAACAAATTACTTCTCTGCTGTGCCTCTGACAAGTTCACTGTATCCAAGATATTTTCAGAGAGGCTTTGATGGAGTACAACAGGCCTGCCTCTTGGATACCCCTGCAATATCACCTGTTGCTTGCCATGCTTGCAATTATAGTAAGTGTGCCTCATACAGTGGGTAAAGTAAAGATCACCCCCTAATAAAAAGGGGAGACCGATATAAAAAGCAAAGAAAAACTAAGAAAGAAGGAAAGGGATGAGAATGGAGAAAAGGAAGAAAGGTGCACCCCCATCTAAAACCAGGTATAGGTATGCTATCATATCGTGGGGGGCTCTGTTAGGTATCTGATCCATGGGACCCAAGTTTTCTCAAAGAGGGCCAGTTTGTCATGTAGGATCACCGACAGACATTCATTTGTCATGATTCATATCAGCTTGGCCTTCAGGAGATGAAACAGGATCACAGGAGATTTCCAGGATCTAGCAATTGAGATTCTAGCTGCAGTAAAGATGTCAACCATCTCAAATGTCTCGGTGCCCCCTCTACTGGACTACAGTAGGGCCTGGTGTGGATTTTTAATGAGGTTCACCTGGGCAAAATGATATATGCATATCCAAAACTGCCTGACTTTTAGGTATGTTCACCATATGTGGAGCACCGTTCCCTCTTGACTGCAGCCCCTAAAACAAAGGGGGCGCTATCTGCACTGGTACCATGTACCATCTTAAAAAGACCTTATAATTGGACTCTATTAATGAGGTATTGATGAAGGACTAAGACCGGGTTCACACTGATGCGGAGCTGGAAATGCTGCAAATCCTGTGCGTTTCCTGCACCGCATTGCGAATTACATGCAGTGTGCTGCACTGCATTAGTGTGAACATCGTCTTAGAGTTGTATTGGGCCAAAAGTTGTATTGGGGAAAAAAAATCCTCCTAGCATTTATGGCTGTGGCCAACTTGAGTAAGAGAAGGTGTTTCATGTAGCAAGAAAATCCCAACATGTGTAAATTAATTGGTTTACGTGAAAGTTATAGCGATTACAAATAGCTGTATATATATACTGGGATTTTTTAATTTTAAATTTTTACTAGTAAGGGTGGCGATCAGTGACTTATAGCGGGTGTGCGGCAGACATTCTGACACGGGGGGGAACTGACTTGGTGTTACTGGCATTCCCAGTGACACTGATACAGTGATCAGTGCTAAAAAAAAAGCACTGACACTGTACTAATGGCACTGGGCAGGAAGGGGCTAACTTGAGCGATCAAAGGGTTAACTTTGTGCTGGTAGTGTTTTACTAAGGGGCACTGTCAGTGTGCTTCACTGTAATTGCACTGCTTTGGATGGCTGTGCGCATGCCCCCTACCCGGAAATACTAAATCACGTATATATACACGATTTTACGCACACTGTGCTGCCCTGTAGCAGTATTTCTGCTATAGGGCGGTCAAGAAGCGGTTAAAAAAAAGTTATGAAATCACCACTGTGATGGAGAGTGTGAATGCATTTTCTCCTAGACATGGTATTCCATAATAGTATTGGACAATGGTCTTCATCTTGAGTAGATAGAGTTTGAAGTGTTTACTAATGCCTGTGATTTTCCAGCGTACAACTTTCAGTGTTAAATATTCATTGTAAAATGGACACAATTTGCTCTCAAAGGTAGAAGTAAAGTAGAAAAGTTCCATACATTGCCATGCTATCTAGTTCAGCTACTCATGAGTCTGCAATGGAGTTGCTCTCTGCCCAACAAGCAATCATCTGCAACCATGGGTCATTTCACTTGTGTCAATAGTTAGACAAAAATTAAGGAATAAACAAAAATGCTAGAGAAATACTAAGATGGCACTACAAGCCAAGTAACGGATTTTTGTGAAGCAGATAACCTCATGAAATAAAGATTCACAGCAACATGGCATGGCTGCCAAGTCATATAATTTCTAAATGACAAGCTCTCATATCTGTAATGCAAACTGAGATTGGTGACGTTTACAAAATGGCTATAAGGCAGCTGTTCAAAAGATACTCATTTCTGCTTTCAGTTGATGACGAGTAAAAATTAGGTTAACACAGTCTGGTTGACATACCAGATCCACTAACAGGCACCAGAAATAAAAACTGATTCTACAAACACCAAAACAATGGCTGCAGGAAGATCCAAAATTTGGTACTGAATTGACTGCAATATCTTGATTTATAAACACCACCATAATGTGGCTATTGTGTGTGCTTTACCCTGCTCTATAAATGTGTCTCATCTGTATCTTATTGGAAAATAATGGCTTTGTGGCATAGCCTGGCAAATGCTAGGTGATGCCAATTAGCTAATGGCATGGAGGAAATGTTTCATTATTTGGTGGTACTGTTTTCAGAGACAAGGACCTGTGCTGTCAGAGGGAAGTGGTGAAAAAGTTGTGTAATGTTTTTGTCCAAAAATTAATTTTACTTACTTTGTTTCATAAAAAAAACAGTAAAATAAACTGAAATAAACTAGTAAACCTTATTTATGGCATGTACTTAACACACACAGGAGTTATGAAACTATTTAAAAACTATTTGCTTAACCACCTCCCGCACGCCATATAGTAATATGATGGACGCAAGGAGGTGGTTCTCTCGTTCTGGGAGTACGTCATATGATGTCCTTCCATTCTCACCGTGCATGCGCGGCTCAGGGAGCGCACAGCGCGGCGATCGGTGGTGCGGATCACCGATCACGGAAAGAGCCGAAGATGTCGGCTCGGTCATTTGATCAGCTGTGTCCAATTACAGCTGATCACATGTAAACAGGGAAATGCCGGTTATCGGCATTTCTCTCATCTCGAGCTGTCACGCTGACAGCTCGAGAGGAGAGGAGAGCTGGTAATCGACTTTCGGCGGAGGGGACATGTACACAGATCATCAGAGCACTGATGATCAGTGTGCCCTGATGATCAGTGTAGCCCCAGCAGTGCCACCTGTCAGTGTCCATCAGTGCCTTGTGTCAGTGCTCATCAGTGCCTTGTGCCAGTGCCCATCAATGCCACATATCAGTGCCTACCAGTGCACATCAATGCCACATATCAGTGCCCATCTGAGCTGCCTTTCAGTGTTACCCATCAGTGCCATTCAGTGCCCCCTATCAATGCCAATCAGTGCCACCTATCAGTGCTGCCAATCAGTGCCGCCTATCAGTGAGCATCAGTGCCACCTATCAGTGCCAGGCAGTGCCGCCTAACAGTGCCAGTCAGTGCTGCCTATCAGTGCCATGTATCAGTGCCATCTTTCAGTGCCCATCAGTGATGCCTGCCAATGCCCATCAGTGCCACCTACCAGTGCCTCATCAGTGCCACCTACCAATTGGCAATTGCATTTAAAAATCAGCACTGACATACACTTAGTATTGTGAAAAAAATTAGTAAAAAAATGTGTGAACCGAGGCATTATTTTCAATGGATTTTCATTCGTAAACCGAAAATTATGTTAACAGAGGCATTCGTAAACCGAGGTATTACTGTATATGCTATTTTCTTTTTTTTTTTTGTATGCAGCCTGTGGACTGAATGAAAAAAAGAGAAGAAATCTCTCCCAGAAAAAGTGTGTGGTATGCCCACCATTAAAAATATACCGCCCTGCATCCACCCACTTCTAATGGTGGGCACACATTAGGTCACACTTTGCACATGCGCCAGTTCCAAGATTGTATAAAAATTGTCCACGTATAAGTAGTACCCCATATAGAGAAGGATGACACCAAGTCCCAAACTATCTTGCCACTGTTCCCCATGTAGTCTGGGCATCTGGGGGGCTCCACGTGACTATCTTTTCCCTCATAAATGCGAACAATACTTGTGCTCGCCACCGCACCAGCTTGTACTACATTTATGGGACTTGCCACGTCGCCAAGTCATACTGCAGTGCTGGTATTATTATTATAATAATACAGGATTTATATGGCGCCAACAGTTTTCTCAGCACTTTACAATATAACGGGAGACAATACAGCAACAATACAGTTCAATACAAGAGGGTTAGGAGGGCCTGATCCTGGAAGCTTACAATCTAAGAGGTATGTGAAAGACCAGGATGTACTAGACGCTGGTGTCGCCAGTTCACCAAAAGGTAGCACGGCACTAGTACTGGCACTCCGCTGCATATGAAAGTCATCAAAATTTACTGACAAGTGCTAACAGAGATCAGGCCTGATTCTGTGAACAGTGCGATTTTGTGTGCAATGTATCAAGTGACAGGGACCTACTGACACTGCACTTGCTGGGGGAGAAGGGGGGGGGTAAGCGTAGGGGCTAAACGCAAGTGCTGGCAGGTCCCGGGGCTGATCCCGCTAATGCTGCATTTTTGGGGACGCTATATTAATGTGAACCTTGGTATAGTGCTGATCTGATCAAAGATATTGACCCGTTCAGACACTATACTAGCAATGGAGGTTTATTGTGTATGAGCATCTTCCTGGCAATCAAGGGGTTAAATGTGATGACTGGTGTACTGAGGGGCAATCTGACGCCATCTGGGAAGGGAGTGAAAACCACGGGAGCACCAATCACATATATATATATGTGATTTTGCGCATCTGTGCTGCCCTGTAGCAGTATTTCTGCTATAGGGCTGGCAGGAAGCGGTTACGTAAGCAGTTTGTGTTACGGCGCTGCATTACTTTAACTGACAATTGCGTGGTCATGCAACGCTGCACCAAATTTACAACTTTTTTTCCCCACAAATTGAGCTTTCTTTCGGTGGTATTTAATCGCCTGTGTGTTTTTTTTTTTTTTGCGCTATAAAAAAAAAAAACGACAATTTTGAGAAAAAAAAAAATTTTGGACTTTTTGCTATAAAACATGTTCAGTAAAATAATTTAAAAATCAAAATTTGTCATAAATTTCAGCCAAAATGTATTCTGTGACGTCTTTGCTAAAAAAAATCCCAATACATGTAAATTAAATTGGTTTATGTGAAAGTTATAGCGTTTACAAATGGCGGTATAGATACTGGTTTCTACATTTTTTTTTATACTAATAATGGCGGCGATCAATGACTTATGGCGATGATCAGCGACTTATGGCGGCGATCAGCGACTTATGGCAGGACTAGGGGACTGCGGCGGACATTCTGACACTGGGGGGAACTGACTTGGGGTCACTAACATCCCCAGTGACACCAATACAGTGATCAGTGCAAAAAAAAAAAAATACTGACACTGTACTAATGGCACTGGGTCAAAGGGTTAACTGAGTGAGGGGAGTGTTTTACTAGTGGGCGGGGGGTGTGTACTTCACTGTTGCACACTGTCCCGGAAAGCTAATCTCTGCTCTCCGTGACAGTGTGTTGGGAACTGACAGGGAGCAGGGCTGCATTGAAACCAATGCAGCTGTGCTCTGTGTCACTGTTTGCTGGCAATCGCCGGGACCCGGCGGGTAATGCGATCGGCAGCGCGGGTAGGGCGGTCGCGCGTGCCCCCTACCTGATATGCAAAATGACGTTTATATACGTGATTTTGTGCAGCGGTGCCGCCCTGCCACAGAATATGTACTGTGGCTGGTCGGCAACCGGTTAAAGTGTTACTAAACCCACAACAGTAAACTAAGTCTTTATATGGGCAGCACAGTGACTAAATGGTTAGCACTTCCACCTGGTAGTACTAGGGTCGCTGGTTTGAATCCCAACCACGGCACCACCTGCCTGGAATTTGCATGTTCTCCCTGTGCCTGCGTGGGTTTCCTCCAAGTACTCTAGTTTCCTCCCACACTCCAAAGACATGCTGGTAGGTTAATTGGATGCTGTCTAAATTGGCCCTAGTATGTGTATGTATGCCCCTTGAGGGTTAGGGACTGATGTGAATGTACAATACATATGACAGCGCTATATAAGTACCTGTAATTATAAAATAAATGCTTGTTACACTCACAGTGGAACCTAAGCGGTTAATCCTCCACATTGTGTACAAAGGCTGGTTGATCCTGTCTTCTCTGATCCTCCCCTTCTTCTACTGTCCCCAACCTATCTGCTGATAGTACAGAGCTCTAGGAGTCACTCTGTACATGTTCAGTTTGGTGTGTATTGCTAGAAAGTTTTTTTGGTTCTTTGGGAGGGTGCATGTGATCAACACAGTCCAGACCGAGAGTCAGGGGTTATACAGCCTCATAAGACAGTCAGGGGATAATGAAAACTCCTCCTACAAGCTTTAACCAATGTTCAGCTAGACACTAATAGAAGTCCCAAAACTGCTATAAACTGCTGATGAGAAAAGGTATTTAGCAGTTAAGATTTACTAAAAGAAATTGCATTTCCATGTTGTGTGCACTGTGGGAGACCAGATATAGTGCATACAGGGTCCTGGGTTTAGTAAAACTTTAGGACAATTAAGAGATTAACACTTTGACTGCACAATAAATAAAACCTTTTAAATCTAAACATGAAAAAAGAGCATAATGTGCTGCTGCAAAATAGGATGCACATTTAATTCAAATTAGTTACATCCTATTTAATGTTAAGATCTCTGGTAACTCTAGTTTGTAACATAAATACCTAATATACCTCTCTTTTGCAAAGCAGCTGAAAAAATCACCAGGTTTTGAAGTTTGCTACTTGAATTTTCACAGAATTTTCACAGCAGTAATGTCACCATTTTGATTACCGTTAAAATGTCAGGCCACATTAGTGGGTGAAGGGAAATGTATGTCTTTTAGGTCTGTCATTTTATTTATCCCACTCAATTTTGTACTAACATGTTGATTAATTGTTTTGTATTATACCCAGAATGAGTTAATGAAAATATGCTATGTTAGGTTAGCCTTGGTAGAGGAGATAGTATTCAATTATTTCTTTATACTAACAGCACCTGTTTCTGTTATGATATAATTAAAAGTCAAATACTTCTGTCCCATGGGAAAATAATTGTTGGATACTTGTAACTGATTTCAAGGCCTGAGAAAGTCATGTTCACAGCCTTGACAAGTATCTAGCGAGATTCTATTGTATGTAGTAGATAAGTGTTTTAAAACAATGTAGAAACTTTCTTTATTGTTGGGAAAATGAAACCCCGCTTCTCATCACTTTTTAGAATTGACGTCAATGTTGTCTTATTTGTATTCAGCCAATCAATTACTGACAACTCAGCTTTTTGATACTCTGTGCCCCCACCTTTCTTTTTTCTTTTATATTAATTTCCTTCCCGCTAATAAACTTGAGAGATTAATTTCACCTATCACTGTGTGTATGTCTTTCTCTTCTGAGGTGAAGTCAATCTCCCCGACGCGTCCGTACCTGAAACCGACTATAAAGACTGATAGCCAGGGGCTATGGACAACCTTTCAATTGGAGGTCCCACCGAGATCGGGAGGTCAACCCGTTTGCGGTCACCCGGTAAGATAAACAAAATCTGTCTGTCTGTCCGGCTGTCCGTGGTCTCTGACTTAACTCTCGATCTCTGAACTGTGACAGGAGTATTCCGGAATACTCCATTGAGTCTTTCCGGGAGACTCAGATAAGGAAAGGTGATTTATGTAGACGGGGTCTACATTTCAAATACTTAGACGGGGTCTAGGTATAATTACAGAGTCTTGACTAGTCTGTTGAGGGTAACCAACTTTCTTTTCTTTGCTTCTACTATCAAATGCATATAGTATAAGATAATTTGTTTATGAAAATAAGTGAACCCGGTTGGTAAGTGAACGGGTCGAAGTTATTGAAATAGAGTCAATATTTAAGTTCTTATTGTCTGTCTTTTGTTGAGAGTGATAAGTGGTCATGTGTCACTAGACCCGTTCTGTACTGTCAGCTCCGTACTGTCAGAATATATCCCTCCTTCTCCAAAGAGGACGTGATTTTTTTTATTGCAGCACAGCAGCAAATCCAATCCACAGCTCCATCCCCTGTCCCAGTCCAGGATGCTGTGGAAGACCAACCTGAACCCCCACCCAAGGAATTCCTGATTCCACACAAGATGAGGAAACTTTTTCTGCTGAAGGATTAAAAGAGATATCAGGGTCCCTATTAGTAGACTTGGCAAATAAAGCAGGAATAGGTAAAATTTTCAGTCCTGGAAGGGCAGGTAGAACCAAACACAGTCCAAGCAATATTCATTTCTCACTGTAGGAGACACGTTATTAATTAAATGTTTAGAAAAGAGGACATTGACTGTGTTACAAAACATTGTTCTGT